CGCGCGAAATCGAGTCCCTTCGCGCCGTCTTTGGCGAGACCTACCCCACCCGGTCGCGTCGTGTCTGTTGCGTGCCCGTCAAGGACCTTCTCGAGAACCCCAAGAAGCCCGAGTGGCGCAACATCAGCGTCGAGTTCTGCGGTGGTACCCACGTCGAGCAGACGGGCCACATCAAGGACCTCGTCATTGTTGAAGAGAGCGGTATCGCCAAGGGCATCCGCCGTATCATCGCCTTCACCGGCGATGCCGCGCACCAGGTCCAGCGTGAGGCTACCGAGCTGTCCAGGCAGCTCGACATTGTCGAGGCCCTCCCCTACAGCCCCGAGAAGGAGAAGGAGGTCAAGGAGGTGCAGCAGGCGCTCAGCAAGGCGACCATCTCGACGCTGACCAAGGACGAGCTCAAGAAGAAGCTGGACAAGATGGTCAAGGCCATCACGGACGAGCAGAAGAAGCGCCAAAAGGCCGAGGCCAAGACGGCGCTGGACACTGTCCAGAAGTACTTCACCGAGAACCCTGACGCCAAGGCCTACGTCGGCCAGCTGCCCATCTCGGCCAACACGAAGGCGCTCACCGAGACGATCAAGCACTACTCGACCAAGGACAAGGAGCGTTCCGTGTACCTGTTTGGCGGCGGCAAGGAGGAGAACGCCGTGGTGCACGGTGTCTACGTCGGCACGGTATGTTTTTTTTTCTTTTTTTCTTTTTTTCTTGCAGACCCCAAGATTAGGCATTTGAGCATGAAAACTGACACAAATTCTTGCAGCATCTCGCGTCCAAGGGCGTCACCGCCGAGGCGTGGGCTTCGACCGTCAGCGACGTCGTCGGCGGCAAGTCGGGCGGCAAGGAGCCCACGCGCCAGGGCCAGGGCACGAAGCCCGAGGCCACGGACGACGGTGTCAAGGCTGCGACGAAGTGGCTGGAGGAGAAGCTGAAGCTGTAGTCACAGGTGTCATACCCCCTGTGTGGCGGCGGATGAAATGAGTAGGAAGTAAGGGGCAGCATGTATCATTCCGAACTCAAAAAATACAAGATGGGATGTTTGTGTGTGTCTTTCCTCTTGGACAATGCATGATGCATGAATGGCTGGTGATACATATTCTACGCGGTGATGGATGCCGTTGGAGGTTCATCTCTTACTTTACATCGTCTTCAACGCCCCTGGTCGTACGGCGCGGGTATCTACCTGACTCGAAGCACTCCTCTGACTCTTGTTCTATGATTCTTCCCAAAAAAAAAAAAAAAAGGCCAGGACTGCTGCTGCTGCTGCTGCCCCTAGACGGTCACCATGACGCTGGCGTTCTGGTAGTAGCTCAGCAGGGGGTTCTCGCCGCTGCGCGTTTCCGTGTCCTCGAGGTAGGCCCAGCGGCGCATAAAGTCGCCGTGAGACGAGACGCGCGTGAGCTTGCCCGTGATGACCTGGTACATGGCCTCGACGATGTTAAAGTCGGTGGGAAACATGATGTCGAAGTAGCCCTGGTGGACCTGGGGCTGTTAGCTCGAAGAAGAGGAAGAAGAAGAAAGAAAGAAGAAGACGAAGTAAGAAGGGGAGAGGGGGGGGGGGGAAGGGGAGAGGAAACGCACGAGAGGGGTCGTCACGGGCACGGTGCGGCGCTCGAAGCGCGTCTGGACGACGGGCGCGTTGAGGCCCTCGATGGCGTCGGGCAGGGCGTGGAAGTCGCTCGTCAGCAGGCGGTGGGCGGGGAAGTACTTCTCGAGGACGTCGAGGTACTGCATGAGGCGCGTGGGTATGTACTCGGGGGCCGAGAGGTTGGGGGCCAGAGGCAGGCGGCTGCGGAGGTCGCGCGCGAGGCGGCTCGCCGGGTAGGGGGCCGGGTAGCGGCCGGCGGTGGCGGCGTGGCGGACGCGCAGGAAGCGGGCGGCGACGGGGTCGAGGCGGGTGTCGTAAAACTCGTAAAAGTCACCGTCGTCGTCGATGAGGACGCGGGCCTGGAGGGGCTCCTCGGTGCGCAGGTCGTAGCGCAGGCAGTCGTGGGCAAAGTTGTCAAAGACTTCGAGGGCCAGGAAGAAGCAGGGCGAGGGCACGCGCTCGTTCCAGTCGAAGATGGACTTGTTGATGATGTCGACCTTGTCGGCGTGGCCCGAGGCGCGCAGCAGGTTCTGGCCCTGGAGCGCGGCGAGGGAGGAGGAGATTTCGATAATCTTGTACTTGGTGCGGGCGTAGACCTGGGGGTCCATGTCGCGGATGTAGTCGAGAATGTTGAGCATCAGGGTGCCGCGGCCGGCGCCCATCTCGTAGATGATGAGGTCGTGGTAGGGGTAGGTGGTGAGGCGGTAGTTGGAGACGAGGTAGCGGGCGATGGCCTCGCCGTAGTAGGGTCGGAAGAGCTCCGTTGGCGTGTGCCACAGCGGGCGGTCGTCCTTGACGCCCTCCTTGTCGTCGAGGGCATCCTCAAACTCGGTGTAGCGGTGACCCAGCTCCTTGTAGAAGGCCGGTTCGTGGCTGAAGGCGGGGAAGTCAAAGGGCTGGCCGGGGGAGAAGATGACGGCGTTTTTGGAGAAGTAGCCGTAATTGGGATTGTACAAGCTGTCTGGAGGGAGGCGTCGTCAGTTGGGGATGCTGTGCACACTCGGTCAGAGGACACCCTTGACAGGACATACCGTCGACAAAGTCTCGCATGAGCATCTTGACCTTTCTTGGCCTCACGTCGCGCCCCTTCAGATCCTCAGCCGTGACGAGAGGGTAGGTCTCAAACTCCTCAGACCTGTCGGCCGGGAACAGCTGGGTCCTCTGCTGCCACCTGCTCTCGTTTGTCTTCTCGCCCTTGCCGAGGCCGGACTTGACGGCATACTGTCGTCGTTGGTGATGGTGCGGTTGGCGGCAGATGTGGTTCGCTGCAGGTCGAAGCCGGGCCGACAATCGCTGTCTGGACTGGCAGGCGGGATGGCGAAAGAGCTCCCTGAAGAGGCGGGTGACGATTGGCGAGTCCATGACGGGCGTGCTGGGTCAGCCTGGCGTGGCCGTTGACTCGGGGACTCTGCCAGACTTGGGGTATGGTGATCGATGTCCTGTATGCAGTATCGATATCCAATGTCTAATTCCATTGCGTTGGCTTTGACCGTGGCCCGAGCTCCCCATGACGGGCCAGACGTTAATCCGGCAGGGGTACCGTTCACCGTTAGGGCCAGCACAGCAGCCAGCACAGCAGCCAGAACGCTGAACGGGGCGCTGAACGCTGGACGCTGCAGGAACGTGGATCAGGTCCCTGGATGACATCACCCCCTAGCGCCTTCTGTCTCTGGCCTGGAGAGTCCATGGAAAGAAAGCCTCAGCTCGCCGCATCTGTCTGACGACGTCCTTCACTCCATCTCCGTATCATACATCACCCATGACACCACCATCACCTCGAGCCCTCATCGAGACGTGTCACTGACGAGAGGGGGGAATTGACGAGGTATGGATCTCAGCAGCTGAAGAGCCATGTCGCTAAGCAACCACCCCAAAGCCTATGGCTCGGCCGCCATTGTCGTCGCCTTTTCGGCAGGCATTCTCGTGACACTCGGCTTCAAGGATTTTTATCCCGACCTCGAGCGTCGCTATCAGCGCCACCGCCGCGCCGTCCGCCGTCGCAACACCAGCTCGTCGACCTCCAAGGATGAGGCCTCGCGCCGCGCTCCGTCTTTTGGGGCCCGCCCGTCCAGCTAGAGGACCACGAAGGGTCTGATGTCGCCGTGTCCGACGACTTCGCCGCCACCTCGCAAGCGCCGCCCATCGCTGACGGCATCG